CAGTCTCAGTCCATTGTTGAATTATGACCTCTGACCCTGACTGAGAGATGTCATGATGCACGTCTTCAGTCAATGATGTAAAAGTCGGATAAAATGCGACATGACCGTTCAGACTGCAGACATTCGGAGAACTTGGTTATGATTTAGTTTTGCATGTGGAAGCAGAACAGATCTGATCTGAATCAGACCGTTCACACCGCTGTGAGGAACTTTTCCTGCCGTGTGAACGGAGCCTTGGCTCTTCTCCTGGATGAATCAGCGATGGCCTCTTTCTGTAGTTTTGATTGGTCAGCCGCTCTGGAGTGTTTCCTCACTGCTCCATGATTACTGGATAACGGTTCTCACTGCGTTCTCTGGAGTCCAAAACCCTTAAAAATAACTATGCAACCATGTTCTGAGTGATAAATATCATACCTGTTTCCATCTCTATAGATAGTGTAGATAGTGGGGATGGGGGGGGATTTTTTGCCTTTTCATGTACGTTAGCCTACTTGTGTGGCTAATCAAACTGAGCTAAGCTATTATGCAAATGTGGTTAATCAATGATTCTTTATTAATCATCGGAGGCAATTATTTTTTCATTTAGCTATCCAAACCACTCATGCTAATTTCCCTTAATTAGTAAATTATCATTTGAAAACTGCTTTTTGTTTTAAACCACATTATGCCTGATTTTAAAATTAGCTTGATTATGTAAAACATGGAAGTGTGACACAAAACAAAAACACAAGAAATCTGCAGGGAGCAAAAACTTATTCACAGCACTGATGGTTAAATTAAAAGGAAATGTAGATCTTGGCTGCTTTGCTGCATTGATTTCATAATTCCTCTCTTGCCTTTTCTTATGGTGTTCAATGCAGTGAAAAGCACAGCTGCAGCAGACTGTCGGTCTGTGCATATGCAGAGCGAGGAAGAGTTTGATCTCAAACATCAAGCTGTCGAGACTTTTGAATCTGAGCTTTTCTCTCTTTCAGCAGAATAAAATTCAGACCGTAATTATGATGGAGAGGATTTGAGAAAAAATGTGATGGAAAGACTGAGAAGTATTTGAGATCTGAACCGACATGCTGCTCGCTGCAGAGATTTTATGAATGAAAAGAGGAAGAGATGGGGAAGGAATACGGAGAGCAGTTTTTACAGACGGCAGCCGTTTAGATTCCCCTGCAGGCCGTGGCGGCTCAGCAGCCTCAGCCCACAGATAGGCCGCGCAGACGGGTGAAAGTTTCCTCCCAATCTCAAGGCCTGGAGGGAGAGCGATCAATATCCTGTCAGTTCTATAAACGAAGGAGTGATGCCTCCATTTCCCCCGGACGTGCTTCGTTCCACGTCCTGTCGTTTCAATTTCACTGTCCCCCTACCCAGACTGCGAGTGGAACACAGATTAAGCATGCTTATGTCTCCATTTATCAATTTGTGCAAAAGAAGATTGAGTATGGAATGGATGGCAACGCTTCCTGCAGCATGTTCTTCACATAACGTACAGGCAGTTAAACGAAGGGTGGAATTATTTATCCACAGACTGCAAGAACTCTCAAGAAGACTCTTGAATTGCGGCATTGATATCAATTTCTTTAACTTATAAAAATCCCATCGAAAAGATTGGATTTTGCGTTTTTTGCTGCAAATCTATTTTCCTGATTTAAAACAAGTCAGATGATTTTAAAACGGTTTCCTGCGCCGCAGTGCATTCCTCTCTAGCAGTGCATCATATGTTCTGAGGCTCGTGTGAAGGGAAGCCAGCCATTCCCAGCTGACTCGGCGATGAGTGCCAAGCATGGCTGACACCTCCTCCCTCCGCCACAGCTGTGGAGGCTCTGAGCGCCACAGCTGCAGGGCTGCGCTCCCTCCCATTAGAAAGATGATCGGCCATTACAGCATGCAGCACCAGAGCAGCTTTTCAACACCTCGTCCCTTTCTCTACCTTCATATGAAAACAAGGTTATTTATTTTTCTGGAGTCCTGATTGCAAAGCCACATATTTTACCCAAAGTATGGGGCCCTGTAATAATCCTCTGAGTGTAAATGTTTGTTTTTGTATGATTCTTATTCTGTCTCTGCTCAGACAATGATGAGACTTTAGCAGGAATGCCAAGGTCAGGTCTTGAGGAATTATGTTTAAGCTTGATGTGAACTTCCTCAACGCTGTGAGAAATTCTCTTCTTGCATATCCCAGAATGCCATGCATGCAGCTGAAGATAACTGGACATCATCATGGCTGCTGCTGAGGCAAACATCAAGCCGCACAGAAATGACCACACATGGTAAATATAGCTCACAGGGGAGAGGGATTACGTCTCAGGCCACACTGCACTATTTGTAGCTTTAGGACGGTTACAAGCTCTCTGTGTGATCAGAGACTACATCTTTCTCTTGACTCAGTCACATGTTCAATCGTTGTGTTAAATAAATGATGACAGCCATCTTGCTTTCGCTGTGGCCGCGGTGCAGAGCTGCCGATCCAGTTGGCTGTTCATGGTTCCCCAGGGAGAGAGAAGGAAGCAAGCGTATAATGATGAGGAGTAATGATGTAATCTAATTATGTTTGTCTTGTTACACAGTACGTCAGTGGCGCCCTGATTAATTCAATTTGCAAATGGGAGGAACAAACTGTCTTGTTTCTGCTGCCTGTGTCCCTCTTTGCTTTGTTCTGCTGTCCGTCCGCTCTGAGGTTGGCAGCTTTTCTCCTCTGCTGGTCAGAAATAACTTCTCTGCTCTTCATAATCTTGATTTTCTATCATCAACTGACCTTTTTATTTCATCGCTGAATCTTTCTGTGTCGGCTGGGAAAGTGAGCAACAGATTGGAATTTTGGATATATTTTTTATATATATAAAAAAAATGTAAACCTCTGAAAATCTACTTATTTTTTATTTTACATCCAGGTTTGTCTAAATAACAGAAATTTTAATATATTTTACTCATTCAACTCCATAAAAGGAGACTGATCAACAGGTGTGAAAAAATGAGGACATCTGACGATGGCTGATATGTTTTTCTTTTATGTATTTGGAAAGATATTAATTTATTAATACAAAAAAATGCAGACATTTAGTTTGGGGCTCCTGACTGACATGAGAGGAAAAATCACGGTGAGATGATTCTGAGGCCTTCAGAGGAGATTCTGAAAGGTTTGCAAAGGATTTAAGATCCGTGTGGCTGAAAGCTGCAAATGTGCAGCAAACGGCGAAACGTGTTGCAAACATATGAGGGTTGCAAACACAACAGGTCAAATGCAGTCATCAGTCTGTCAGAGGACTACAGATGAGATTTAGCCCTACTGGCTAAAGCTGCCATATTAGTTTTAATGTATTCATCTTAATTAATATGCACTGTCCTTTATGAAAGAAATTAAAATTCAGAAAAACGGTGCAAACAAAAATTGCTGCAATCAGAGAGAGAAAAAAACAGCAAAAAATTGGCATGTTCAATCAGTTTAATAATCATATCTTTGCCTTTGAATTGTTTTGGCTGCAGACTGAAGATTGTGAGCCAGAATCAAGATAACCATGAAATCCTAATATGTGGAATTAATCTATATAATATCAGTCTCCCTTTTTAAATTAAATCCCCAAAATGAAATGTGCTCTATTTTACTGAGATGCTTTGAAAAGTGCTATTTGACAAATTTGGTTATTTGAGTTACGACGGATACAGTATGAATCCAACTCAACTGACTCATCGTGTTTCTCTTAAAGGAAAATGCCTCCCAGCTCAAAATGTCCTCCTGGATTTGTATTAATATGCTAATATGTCAAAATCATAGAAAATGTCAGAAAACTTATCAAAAGGACATTACTACAAGGTATTAATAAAGTACCTGTGTCCTTGTGTGACGACAGCGCTTACAGATGGACCAGAACTTTTCCCATCGTTCCTCAAACTGAAATGGAAATGAAAATAGCAGCCGTGCCCTCATAAGTCAAAGCGTGGAGAGAAAAGTGACCCCTCTTGTGCGAGATTGAGGCACTAAATCAGCCTGCAGAAGTCTCCAACCCGGCTCATCTGAAGACGCTCATGGAGAACCATCATTCACGCTGGGCAGCAGGCGCTTTGATATGCTGTGTGTCTCTGCAGCTGGGAGCGCATGTGTTCTTTATTTTCCTGAGAATATTTGATCTCTGACAAAGGCTGAAAAACAAATCCATGTTTGTACTGTTTACATCGGTGCAAAAAGGATAAGTGTGTCTGCTTTCAAGGCTGGCCCTCTCACCGACATGTCGGCCATGTTTGAGTTGTTACACCGTGTCCTGCTGCACACCGCAAGGTCAACGCTAAAGGCTTCCACCTTTTGCCGGTTGACAGATTATTCTGGAAACGTACACAGTTGAGTAACCTGGAAGAAAACGCTCTCGCTATAAATCTGAAGACAACTCAAGGCGGCTCTGATGCTTCCTGATGGTGTTTATTCAGTCAGTTTGTTAAAGATCACCTTAAAACCAACCGATACAGAGACAACCTGCTCACACCACCTCAGAATGATGTTTCTGCTTTGTTGGGGTCTGAGACATTCAAAAACAAAAAAGGAGAAAAAGAAGATCATCTTTTGTTTGATGATAAATCGTCTTGTATGACATTAGAACGAGCTGCGCTCCCTTAAAGTTCATCATGTAAAAAACCTCCAAGGTTTAGCAGAAGGTTAACACCATTCACACACTGTGCTGTTTGTAAAACTGAACAAGTGTTAATGAAAAGCCCACTACAGTAATAATGTTAGAAGTAATAACCAAATATTGCTTTTGAATTGTGGTCCAACCAAATCATTTTAAAAACAAAACTAAACCAACCGTCCCTGCAAAAATGATGTTTTTTGGTTCATCATTAAGGGGCACTAACAATTTTGTCAACATCTATAATTCATAAAAATAGGTAAGAAAAGCACAATTGTAACCTCTCCCTAAGATTTATTCCATACTTGCATCAATAAATGTGTAAATGTTGTTAAAAGTAAAATGTTTAATTGAAACAGCAGAATGTAAGACGCTGAGTGTTTGTTTTAACAGAGTTGGGAGCAGCTGACGTCTGAGGTGCTGGCAGCCTCTCCTCCTGCCTCCTCCGTCTCCAGGGAAAGGTAAGATTTCTTCTTCCACCTGCCACATTTCGCCTCCAGATGTTGTGATGATCTGCTAACATGGCGGTAAAATGGAACTGAGAGTCTTTAATTGCCCAAGAGGATCTGGTAGCACTCTTCCCCTAATATCTGCGGCGCATTGTTCTGTTTATTTAACAAGGCGCTTGAGAAGGGAAAATGCTTTAGTTCCACTATGCCTTTAATTAAATCCCCACAACACTTGGAACAAGTCTGAGTGCAGAGATGATTAAGATACAGATGCAACAAGCTGGAAACCTTGATTGACTGTGAGAATGAGTCACTGTATAAAAGTAAAGGTGCCACCTGAGTCCCTGATGAGCTGCGTGGCAGTCAGGCTTTAAATAGGAGCTCAGCTTCAAGGAGCTAACTGGAATTAGCTGAACCACAGATAATATGTGGCTAAAGATGAAGGCAGCGGAGAAGTTTATGGTGACACGGTTGTAAATGAAGGAATGTTGGCTGAAAAGGAGAAATCCTGCAAAGCTGTGCAGTGGAAAAGTTCAGGAGTCCCTTTGTGGATGTACAGGTTCCTCAGCAGGGTGCCGGTCAGGGTTGTTTCAGACGGAGGGATGAAGACGTTTACAGATGTCTTCCTCCCCAGATCCATGTGCTTATGTGACCTCGGGATCTGCAGCAGAGTTATGGTGAGTTATGTTAATGAGCGTTCATAAGATGGACAAACTGCTCATTTCTTGTCAAACAAACTTTCATCTTCCTGCCTGTTTCTGGAAAACATCCTGAAGATTCAGTGCATTCACAGGACTTAGTGTTTCTGTGAGCGACAGGAAGTCTGCTGTCTATTTAAATGAATGTGTCTATAATTAATCCATATCTGCCAAAATAGTCAAAACAGTTTTTTTTATTTTACACTAAAATGATTAAAGGAAACTGAAACAGTACAGTACCCAGATAGCACAGAATGATTGAAACAACATTGAATCAATGTCAGCCAGAAACATTGAATCAACGTTG